TGGAACCTATGGACTCGTCTGTACTCGACATGACATCAGCTGCAACTCCACCCAGAAAATCGCCATCTATGACGCCTACTACACTAACAACACCGAGTGTCCACATACTGGCTTCTCTAGCTGCGTCAAATTCAGTGCGGACGATGTAACAGAACATGGATATCACAGATTCAACTACACCGAGCTGGTCTCCCTGTACAGAAACTGCTCAACAAAGACTCGGTGTGTGTATCAGGGGTCCTCGGCAGGGTGAAATTCGTACATTCTCTGTTGTGAAATATCAGTGTATTGAAGGTAAGGGTACAGTGTAGTTTAAACTGAATAACTGGATTTCTATATTGCTGTTTTAATAGAAGAAACATCGTATCTCACGATAACGTATTCAGAAGGTTGTCACCACATTGACCATGGTGAATTCTTTTGTATGTGGACAATATGCATGTTCATATCGACGTTTTTTGTCGACATTTACATTTGTTTAACAATTTAAAACTTCTTTTTTGAGAAATAGGTAACTTGGTGAGGCAAACTCAAAGCAGTCACTGACAAAATGCAATCATTGCCTTCACTGTTGACAATCAGTAAATGCTGCCTCCTTGTGACGTGAGTAGATCGGAGGAACGCCTCCCAATTTGCCACTCAGATGCCCAGGTGTGACGGCATATTAACAAGAAAATGTTCAGTTGGTGCATCTTTGAATCGATATGTCAATGTAACAGATCCGATTACAGTGTTGAGGCCGATTAGTGGATAACTGTATGTATGCTTTTTGAGGGAGCATTACATCATTCTATAACGATACCCTCTGTTTTGCTTCCACCTCACTGTCTAGGGACGCCTACCTTGAACAGAGGGCAGTAATTCAGAAGACAAGGCAATGACACTGAACCTTTTACATATCTTAACTGATCTGATTTTCGTATAATGAGCCTAGTGATGCTTGTTGCTGCCACTGTCGACAGTTTGGGTGTGGAAGTGTATAGATATTGGTTGCTGCTACAGTAGTTCTCTGGGACTGACGGCGGAATACAGGAGCCATAACAGGTTGCTTAGCACAGGCTACAGGGACAACATTCTCCGGACTGTTTTCAAACACAGGGTGTCTTCAGTGCGCATGCAGTCGCTACCTCAACGTCATCCTTAGTGATCACATCCGACATGACATTGGTGTTTGATTTATTATATTATTACGCTCTCCCTCCTATTAACAGCCGTTGGTTTTGTCAGTGACAAATAAACAAAATTAGTGTGTTTTTGTCAATAGCGTATTACGTTTGAACCTCCTTGTGTGAAACATGGTTACATTTTTAGTATTTTACATAACATTTTACGTCACATTTGTTTCAATTGCGGGTTTGTGTGCGAACATGAATATACAACTGTTATTAAAAGAGACACGTCAGTAGTAACCTGGACGATGGACATGAAACAAGTAGAAATCACATTGCTCAGGAACTCCTTGATTGTAATAAAATGGAATCACAACATCAAAATGGTGAATGGAAGTGTGTTATTTTAAGCACATAATGGGAGTAACGTTAAGGCATACCTGATTGAAAGAAATACTTTCAAGAATTTATGTACATTGTTGGTCTTACTTGGAGAAAATAATCCCAGAAGGGCAAACCTATTCCGTGGTCAGTGTGCTCTTTGTATTTTTCTGCGATCGTGCATGGGTTTGTGTGCATGCATATGTGGCACTTGAGACAAATCGAGCCAAAAGGTAAACACTGGTTATGAGCAATGTAATATGAATCAAACTCTGACATATTGGGTCTTTGGATGGCATTTAGAAGTGATACACATAAGGAAGAGAGAGTTTTATGGATGTCAACTTCTTTATTATGAGGAGCACTTGTACTTGTTGGTGAATATTACTGCATCATCTCCACCTTGATGTCGCATCAGGTCTTTGAATGGCACTTAGAAGTGATGCACATAAGGAAGAGGTTTTTATGGATGTCAACCTTTTTATTATGAGGAAAACAACACATTATGAGGAACTGGTATTGTGGATCCTCAATACTGAAACAAATTCAAAGTGGATACAAGCTCAATCTCACCTATGTCAGAAATCTCGGAAATTAGAAGTGAGTGAGTGAGTTAAGATTTTAAGTCACATCGGCAATATTTCAGCCATATCGTGACTAAAGCAAGTTATAAATATATCAACAATTTAAGTGAAATTATAAAATTCTGCCGACGAAGGACAGTAAAATAACTAGATTATCACAGATATAGATATAAAACTAGTAACTAAATCTAAAACATTTGAACTAGACAAGGCGATACAATATAAAAACAGGCTATTGATCGCCAACAACTGAAGGTAGATCACCATACTAGGGACCATGGGGACTTACAGTACATTTGCTTCCTGCATGGACCCTAGCTGGATTTACACCATCCCTTCAGCCATTGGGGACAGAAGAGAAACCTAGCCATAAATTAAAAGTACACATATTCTACGATTAAAAACCTGGTACACTTAAATTGACTAAATGTTTTGGGACTTACGTACCCTCTCAGGAGGACAATAATTTTACGCTACTTCAACCCCCTTCGAGGATACAGCCACTAACAATATCAGTTACTAATTTAAACTACCAATAATAAAATATATATCTATTTACAAATCAGTTAGCAAGTCTAATTTTTTTAAAAAGGCAATAATTAAATGAGAACTTATATGACTAAAAAGATCCTTCATAGTTGTTACTTTGAAATAAATATCCCTTGTGATGGAATATTCAACACAGTCAAGCAAGACATGTTTGACCGTGATTCGTTCATCACAAGGGATACAAAACGGAGGATCCTCACCTTTCAATAGGTACTCATGCGTATATCTTGTGGGCCAATACGACATCGTCGTATGATGACCTCTTCAAATCTGGACTGACAACCCAAGTAAGTGTAACTGATATAGGGTTTTATTTCATGTAATTTATTGATACCTACTTGGGTGTCCTGACTTCTTTTGCATCAGATCGCGGATGTAAGATCTAATGCAAGCTTTGTAATCAGAGTATGGGAGCAGAAGTGATGTCACAGATTTGTTGAGTGCAGCCTTAGCAGCAATATCAGCCATCGTGTTCCCAGAAATGCCAACGTGGCTGGGTAACCAACAAAAAAGACGATGTCGCATTGGCCAGTAGCAAGCTCATTATACAATTCAATAATTTCTAATAAAAGTGGATGTTTGCAAGAAAGATTTTGTATAGCCTGAAGACACGAAAGAGAATCTGAAAAGATGATATATTGTTCATATTTACGGTGTTTATTAATATATTTAAGAGCTGTTAGTATTGCGTTTGCTTCAGCTGTGAAAATTGAACTGTCATTGGGTAGTCTGGAAGATATTGTTTTGGACCCAATGACAGTGGCACAAGCAAAACCGCGCCGCCATCCTTGGACCCATCTGTAAATAAGGATTTATAGGTATTATATTTACTTTTTAATTGATTATATTCTTGTTTATATTGTAAGTCATTAGTTTCTGATTTTTTAAATTTATTGAGTGTTAGGTCGACTTGTGGCCTAACCAATTGCCAAGGAGGAGAAGAAAGAAGACGGGAAGGAGATATATTCTCCAACTCAATGCCAGCAGCAGAAATATATTGTTGGATTCTTATCCCAAGAGGTGGGACAAGTGAAGGTTTTTATTATACAAATCCTCATAAAGAGCATTAAAACGCAAGTGTGAGCAGGATTGATTCATTAGAATATAACTTTGTGATATATTGTAGGGACAGTTTGATACGGCGAAGTTTTAAAGATGGCTCATCGGCCCTCAACGTAGAGACTGTCTATGGGAGAGGTTCTGAAAGACCCAAGACAAAGTCTTAGACCCTGGTGATGGATAGAATCAAGTAGTTTGAGGTTGCTTTACAGGCCCCCACCATATACGATAGAGGCGTAATCAAGTTTCGAGCGGACAAGTGATCTGTAAAGGTGTAGGAGCGTAGCTTGATCCCTCCCCACCTTGAATTAGACACGACTTTCAATAAATCGAGTGCCTTCAGGCATTTAGTCTTCAAAGACTTAATATGTGGTAAAAGGTCAAATGCTTGTCAAAAATCAGTCCCAAAAACTTGGCTTCCTTTTACAACGTTAATTGAGAGCCATCCAAGTACAGTTCGGGATCTTTATGAGGTTTATATTTTCGACAGAAATGTATACATTTGGTCTTTATCTGTGAAAATTTAAAGCCATTCTCAAGTGACCATTTATGAATTTTATTTAAACACATCTGTAATTGTCTCCTCGATGGTATGCATATTTTTTACCACGACATGAAACGTTAAAATCATCCACAAACAATGACCCATCTATTGAGTCATTTAATACGTTTGAAAGACTATTTATTTTATGCTAAAACAAAGTAACAGACAAAATACTACCTTGTGGAACCCCTGATCCTGATTATAAAGGTCAGACAGGGTTGATCCAACACGAACTTGAAATTGTCTGTCTGCTAAAAACTGTGCTATAAACTGAGGCAAACGGCCTCTCAAACCAAAGTCATGTAAATCTCTTTAAAATGCCATGTTTCCATGTTGTATCATGTTTTTCCAGGTCGAAAAAGATTGATACAGTATGCTGATTATTTACAATGGAATTTTTAACAAATGATTCCAGCCGAACCAAATGGTCAATAGTGCTTCTATTTTTGCGAAAACCACATTGATGTTAGTAATAAGATTATTGGATTCCAGAAACCATACTAATCTATTATTGACCATGCGTTCCATGGTCTTGCAAACGCAGCTAGTTAGTGAAATAGGTCTGTAGTTTGATGGATCTGTATGATCCCGGCCAGGCTTAGGTATCGGTACAACAATGGCATGACGCCACGAAGGAGGAAAGGTCCTGTTGTCCAAATATTATCAAAAATGTTCAGAAGTGTTTCAAGACATGCGTTGGGTAAATGTTTCAAGAGCTGATAGTGGATATTATCAGCACCTGTTGCCGTATCATGAGCTTGCGCTAAGGCAGTATTCAGCTCATGTAGGGAAAATACTTCATTATAATCTTCACCATTAGCAGAGTGAAAGTTAATTTTAAGTTTTCGTGATGATCTTTATATTTTCTGAAACTTCTTCGATTATAGTTTGATGAGTGAGAATGTGTAGCTAAAGTTTCACCCAACTTGTTTTGCAATGTCAATTTTATCAGTTAAAAGATCGTCTCCATCTTTGAGATGATGAACACTAGAATTTCTACCTTTTGCCCTTGATTCTCTGTATCATGTTCCACACCTTCGTCATTGGCGTACGGGAATTAATCTTTGA